TTGAAATAATTTACGAGAAAAGCTGACCTAAAAATGAATAGTGATTAATCATTGTCTGCAGTCTGGCCGAAAATCGTGGCTATTTGAAGTTTAAATCGAATTATACGAAAATTTGCAAGTAATTAATATAAATGGAAAGCTTAAATTAGCACCTTTATAGCTTTTTAAGTGAGGCTGCGACATTAAAAGATTCAAGACGAAGCTAATGACAATACTTGGATTCTTTTCAGCTTTTTAGAGAAAATTTCAGGATATATTGATTTAATGTTAACATAGTTTCAAATGTAAATTCTTTGTTATGTAAACTAGGCTTGCATTTATCATCGAAACTAATTGCAAAGTCGGTGCATTTATGTTGTGCTCCAAACTGAATTACCTACCACATGCTGTTGTGGTTTTGTGAGGGCAAACATCGCCTCAATCCCGTGCATTGCACACACCGTATACAAATAAAGAGACTAAACTCCTATCTTTACTCGACAGACTCTTAATATGAGCTTAGTGTAGTAAATCACACTTAAAGCCGTTGTAGGTCGAGATAGTGACTTTCTCTCTTAAAGGCTTTGCAGGCAGTAATGTTGAACTTACACGGCAGGTTTTTGTTGGTGGTGGGAATCCGAGCAAGGATCTCACACTCGTTTGAGTACATGGTGGGAGTGGCGGCTCTAATGCCTCAAACACGTTTAGGTCTACTCGGAAAGGACTCATCTAGCGAACAGGAAATTGAATACGCCTCTAGGTAAAAGCCGCAGTTTTAGACGAGATTTGGTGCAAAAGACCAAGACTGATGCTAATCTTACACACTGCACGTTTTTTTTTTTAAGTTGGACGACAGACTGTTTAAATACAATTTCGTTTCTTCTCCGTGTCATAAAATCAATTTATTTTTTGTGCAAGCTTTGCTTATTTGATTGCTATTAAACGCAAAATTGGTAAATTTAATAGATAAGTGACAGGTTTTGATGTTACTATTTAAGACATCCGTTTATAAAATCAATTTCATTGAGTTTTAATTTTTCCTATAATTCAGGAATTTTAAAGTTGGACCAAATAACGTTTTTTGTACTTTTAATGATTCAAAATTTATTAACTTTTACCCTAATAAAATTGTGGTTGGTACAAAAATTGTTACAAAATTTTGAAAAATTCGATTTTTGAAGTGTCAAGTCTCTATTAAATTTTAATTTTTGTTGAATTAAGAATAAATACTGCAAATATTTTATGTACACCACCTGAAATAAGAGAAATCGCTCAAATCACCATTACCAACCTCTAGAAAGAAAATTGTACTAGTCTATTTTTGCAGAAAACTGTAAAGTACGTAATAGTTTAGAAGTTATAGTCGAAATTATATTTTCGATTTTTTCGACTTTATTCTTTTTGTTTTTCTGTATTTTTGTCAATTCTTTTTTCTGTCTCTTTGATTGCTATTTTTATACTTTTTTGTCCTCTTTGTTCTGTGCTCATGTATCTATTTATTTGTCTTTGTGTGTTTCATATTTCTTTTCCAAAGTTTCCTATGTTTTTATTTTTGTAGAGTATTTGAGCTTGATGTTCTTTCACTTTTTTTATTATACATAGTTTTGATTCAAAACTTTTTTGATAGTGTCTAAATATTCTGCGCATTTTATCTTTTTTTTTTTGATTTTGCTATTTTTATAATTTTTCTTCTTCTCTTCAACGCCTTTATTTTTTTATCAAAGCAATCTCTTTACTTCATAGTAAAGTATGTAGCCAAAACACAAAATTTTTCAAAATATTTGTTTTATTTCCTTATAAGATTTAGGGAGTGATTCCATAAGTTGGTGCATTTTTCCCAAAAACCGTGAGTCGTAGAAAATTAACACAAAAGACACTTTTCAAAGAGAATTAATCAAAAAAAAATTGCAAATATTTTCTAAAATAACATTTTTGCCCTGAATAGGCTACCGCCCCGCTCCTTTTTTTCAAATAAAAAGTTTTTGTTATAAACATTTAAACGAGAATAAAAAGTGCATAATAGTATATTAAAAAACGAGTGCTCACAAATAACTTATGAAACAAGTTTATAATGCTAATTTTTCTATTTTGCGTACTTTTTCAACATAAAAGTAATTTTTTCAAAATTTATTAACTTTAACCCTAATGTGGTTGGTAATAAATGTTACAAAGTTTGAAAAATTCGATTTTTAAAATGTCAAGTCTCTGTTATGTTTTTAATTTTTGTTAAATTAAGAATAAATACTGCAAATATTTTATGCACACCACCTGAAATAAGAGAAGTCGCTCAAATCGCCGCTTAAAAAATCACAATTACCAACCTCTAGAAAGAAAATTGTACTAGTCTATTTTAGCACCCGAACTGGTGTTGAAATGGCTCATTAAAGCATAGGTTTTGGTATTGAAATAAGCTTTCAGACGCAAAATAATAAAAACGTTATTCAAAAATTTTTAATTTTTTTATTTTGTTAGTTTTGGCTAGACTATATCTAAAATGGTCAGTATTTTTGTTTATGCGTATGTAAAATGTTCCGAGAAATCGATTGGAATTGAGAAAACTGTAAAGTTTGTAATAGTTTAGAAGTTATAGTCGAAATTATATATATTCGATTTTTTTGACTCTATCCCGAAATTTTCTGGATAATATTTATCGTAGATCACTGATCTTTTTTGTATAAAATATAAAATTAAATTTGCTTTTCAACAGTATCAAAACATGAGAGGCAACCATTAATAATTTTAGAGTTTAGAGTACCAAAAATCGTCCAAAATTTCGTCAAAAATCGAAACAATTAAGATTTTCAAAATTAAATCATTTGCACTCTTGGAAGTTCAAGAAACTTTGAAAAGTACAAAAACGTTGTAAAAATTAACAAAAAATAATTTTTGAAAAATCTTGTAAGTCTGTATGAATATATTGAATTAAAACATTGAGACTGTCGGGTGGCTTAGTAAAGTCAGCAATTTTTCACAAATTTAATTTAAAATAAAATTAAAAATATGACGGGCGCATAAGAGAGCGAACTTTAAAATATGTTGTAGTAACTATAAGAGAGAAGAAAAAAAACAAATAAAAGCGCAAAGTATAATAAGACAGAGAAAAACCATAAAAAAAGTTAAAAGATGACGGGCGCTTAACATGTGCCAACAAAAGTGTAATAGTTAATAGTGTATAAATAGATGAACAAAAGGTAAGTTAACAAAAATATAAAAAAGGTAAGTTTTTTTTAATATAAAAATATTTTTTTATAAATTATTATTATTACTAATAATTTAAATAAATATAAAAAAGCTTTAAAACATGTACAAAAGTGTACTAGTAAAACGGATATAAATAAACAAAAGATAAGTAAGTAAGTAAGTAAGTAACATGAAATGTATAATAAAAATTATAGTAATAAATAAAAACTTATCGTTATTTTGTAAATTCCGACTAAAGAGTATTGAAAATGTGTTAAATTAAAAGAAAAATGTTCCAAGCCATCAATTGGTGTCGAGAAAACTGCAAAAAATGCGATAGTTTAGAAGTTATAGTTGACTAGGTACAGATTTTGACTATTTTTTCAATAATTATTTGTCGATGAACAATAATCTTTCTTTTTAAATATAAAATTTAATTTGTTTTCCAACAATGAACACAAACAAGATATTGATAATAATTCTGTAGTTACTGGCAATACATATTTTGTCAAAAATCTAAAAATTGTAAACTTTAAAATTGATTCAAAATTTGATTCAAACGTTGTAGAAATGCGAAATTTTTTATATTTGAATATTAAAACAAAGACACTGGCCGGAGGCATTGTGGTGCATCGGCAGGTTCCAACCCCGGTCACAGCAATAATTTTTCTTTAATTCAAATTTAAATAAATAGTAAAGAGCTTAAAGTATAATAGTGTGAAAAATGTGTGTAGGTCTAACAAAAGGTAAGTACAATACCATTCATATAAAAAAAAAATTGGTTGTTTCTTTATCTTCTTAAGATATTACTTTTATAAAAACCTTGTATAATAATAATAACAACATATAGTCTTTTTTGGTCAATTTTCATTAAAAAAATAATTAAAGTTTGATTGCGGATAAAGGAATTTTCTTTTAAATAGAAAACTCTCAGCATGTAAGATACATAAAACTTCCTTTATTGCTCCTTTTTGCCAGATAATTTAATTTCTTCATAAAAAACATGAATCGGATGTTTATTTTTTGCGCCTCTTTTTCAGGATGAGTTACATGTTCGTTGAGTGTTTATTCAACCTCTAAAAGAGCCATCTCTCGCTCTTTTACCATCAAAAACTCAATTGCACTAAGTGGAAAAAAAACAATGATTTATAGAAAATTTCCCACTTTTTATAGTTTTTATCTTTATAAACAGGAAGCAAAAGGCAAACACCATGAAAAATTCGATAAAAATTTAAATCGAGTTTCTTGATTGCAACTTTATCTGAACGGTATAGAACATAAATTTAAAACTTTAGGGCCATACCGTAAAATAATATCTTCGGTGCCTGCTACGATCTTAATACACAGAAAATACTCCCTTTCCAGCCCACTGATTTTCTATGGCGGAAGTAATCAGATTAAGGTCATTGTTTCATACTATTGTATCAGTTGATAAAACATAATTTTATTTTCCTACAATATTAAGTTACAAACTTGTTAACATTTCAGTTTCAGCTGCACTTTAATTAAAACTGCACAATTGTCGGAGGAATAAGAACGAGTTTGCACGTGAGTTAGAAGTTGACCCAAAGGTGCATTTCCAACTTAATATCAATTACTTAACGTGAACATAAAACGGTTTCTTGTTCACGTTTGTAATCATCTAAGTGAGAGACAAAGTTGAACATCATTCCAGCTATTAACTTTTATTAGTGCAGCTTTACTTGAACTGTTCAAAAGTGATTTTAACTTTGACAATTTTACTCTTTCTCGAATTGGAACCAATCCTTTGAAAGCTATATGTCGCAATATCAGACAAGTATTTAAAGACTTTTATGTAATTTATGTAGTTTTTTACTTACTCAAGATTTGTTTTGCGAACGTCAAAATCCAGAAAGTTCAACTTAATTATTTCGTCGGTGCTTCCAATAAAGGTGTAAAGGAGACAGTCAATGTTGGGAGCATAGGGTTTTGGAAAGTCGGGACTTTTGAAGGTACCCTTTTCTTTGCCGTATGTAGCCGAGAAGACGATACACTCGCAACCTAAAACACAAAAAAACAATAATGTAGGTTTTTTTCAATATACAGGGTGTTTCACATAATTTTACGAGGCTTGCGCCTGTAAGATGCATATTCCAATACGAACTCGATTATAAATTTTGAAAAATTGGATAATCTTCTCTAGTTTGTTCACCCCTTTCAAGAATTACAACGTTTTTAGTTAGTTAGTGATTAAGATAGATAAACTAGAATCATATTCATGCCGTCTGTTGGTAGAACAAATGATAATCATTTCAGAAAAACTGTAGTTTATGACTATTAATGAAACAGTGATAAGTTTGACAACTACTGTCATGGGTTTCCAAAAATTGAATAATTAAATGTGTATTTTTTGTATCCAGTGTTCTGTGACTTTTGTATATTTGGGTGCGTACATTAGGCGCAAGCCTCGTAAAGTTATGTGAAATACCCTGTATTGGAACTAAAAATAGAATTTATTTATTAATAATAATTACAAACTACACAAAATAAAATTCACTTCTAGAGGTCCAAATGTGCATAAAATGTTATGGGGTGGGTATAAAAAAATGTTAAATTTTCTTAATAGTTTTCTAGACAGTTTTGAGTTTTTTTTGTTTTGTAAATTTTGACAAAATTGTACCTCAAAAGTATAAAATTTCGACGAATACATACAGGGACATTTTTTTATTAGTATACATAGTCCTATGTATACTTTTAAAAAAACCGGGTCAACTTCAATGTTGCTATGGCAATTACGATTAGCGGTTAGTCTAGGCATAGGCAACCAATATTGCAAAGGCTTTAATATCGATAAATAAAAGACAAACTTAAATATTAATTAAAAAAAATAGAACCCATCAAAACATGAAAAATATTTAATAATTAAAGCAAGTGTTCAAAATGCTTTCCTTGTAGTTCCAAACAATAACCCAAGCGATTTTGGAAATCCCGCCACTGCATTCCTGATAAATTCAGGATCTATATTATTACATTCTGTACGAATACGTGGTTTTACCTCTTCTAAATTTTGCATTGGAACATTAGTATAAATTTTTATATTTAAATACCCCCAAAGAAAAAAATCGTTAGGTGCAAGTCTGGCGATCGTGGGGGCTATGGGATGGGACTATATCTCCCGATTCACTTCGGTAGACATGGGTATTAACTTTTTAAAGCTACGATTTAAGTTTCAATACTGACACTTGACAAACTTGAGACAAAATTTTAGTTTTGAATATTTTAATATCTAGTACCCTCTAAAAGCTTGAAATATTGGTCGCCTACCCTATGAAATTGACCCGTTTTTTTTTTAAGTATACGTAGGGCTATGTATACTAATAAAAAAATGTCCCTGTATGTAAAATGTTTCCGAAAACCAAGTGGCGTCGAGAAAACTGCAAAGTTCGTAATAGTTATAATCGAATTTATATTTTCGATATTTTTGATTTTATCAGCAATTTTCTTGATAACTATTTATCGTAGAACACTGATCTTTTTGTATATAATAGAAAATAAAATTTTCTTTTTAGGGATTTATAACAAAAGAAGCTAGCGCCAATAGTTCCAATGTTGTTAGTAATAAACTGCTCCAGGTACCAGAAATCGACTAAAATCTTGATCAAAAACCAAAAAAAATTTCAACTTTCAAATTAATCTATATACTAACGTTTTTTACATTTCTAGAGGTCTTAAAGACTCAAAACAGTATATAAAACGTTATTGGGTAAAGTTTAAAAAATTAAAAATCGTAAAAATATATAGTTAATTTACCTTAAGTCGTAAAAACGCTTGAAATATGGTTTTCTAGACGTAAAATTACGCGCTGAATACAATAAAACAAAAAAATACCTTACGATGCATAAGCACAATATCCGATTCTGACCAAAAAAATCACAATTTTTTTATCCTTATGAAAAACTAGTACTATATGTGAAATTTACCAAAGACTACGCTTATATACAAACACTTTTGACCTAGAACTTATAGTTTTTGAAGTAACGTTTGTTACTTCTTTAGTTTTACTTTTTTAGTTTTTTGCTCTAAGTGTTATAGTTTCGTAGAAAAATGCATTTAAAATTTCAAAATTTTAAACAATTGTTTTAAACTCTTAGACTTAGTGCAAAAAACTCAACACCAACGTAATCAGCGTAAAAATATCTATCGATTGATGCCAAAGTTAAGTTAGTATCTCGCAAAAAATTCAATTTTTAAACGTCGATTACGGCGAAACTGCTGGTGATAGCGCAAAATGCTTGGCAAATTTGTAATCAGCGCTTCAAAAGCTATTGCATAAAATTGGTTTAAATCAAATCAGAGACATGTTTAAAAAAATATATTTTCTTTTAATTTCCACTTTTTCTTATTTTGTACATTGTGGCAAAACTGTATCTCAATGATTTAATATTTTAACGTAAACGTAAGTAAAATGCTCCAGGTAACTGCAAAATTCGTAATAGTTTTGAAGTCATAGTCGAATTTATATGTATTTTTGATATTTTTGTCTTTATCAAATTTTCTCGATAACTATTTTTCGTAGAACACCGACCTTTTTTGTATATGATAGAAAATTTAATTTTCTTTCCAAACATTTTCTTACCAAATACATAAGCGGTAGTAAATCGTAAAAATAGTCAGTCAACTTTTTGTCATAAAAACGCTTGAAATATAGATTTCTAGACGTAAAATTACGCGCTGAACACAAGTGAAAATACTCTACGATGCATAGTTTTCGAAATATTGAGTAATAAAGTTAGGAATAAGGCTAGAAGCATAAGCACTATATCAGAGTCTGACCAAAAAATCAAAAATTTTAGATTTTCATGAAAAACTACTACTACATGTAAAATTCACCGGAGAATACGCTTGTACAAACCGTTTTAACCTAAAACTCATAGTTTTAGAGAAATGACTTTTTTATGAAAAAAAAAAATAAAAATGGCTCTTTACCCGGAACCATATCCCGGAACGACTTTTGGTTTTTGCCGTTAGGTAAACAATTTAAAGTACATTTTATCTGCAAACGTCACAAAAGTGACCACTTTTATGACTAAATGAYACAGGTAAAAGTTTTACTTTTCAGACATGGAGTAAAAACACTGTTTTTACGCCTAGGCGTTTTTACTTTTACTTGACACTTACTTTGACATTTATCACTGTTGTCTCTTTCTTGTCTCTTTCACTTTTTCAGCATTTTCTGGAGAGGTACAAGGTAGATTATCAGCATTCGACATATTGCACTAAAAACTACACCATTTATTCACCAGTTAAATCAATCCACACTGATTATTGAGGTGATTTACTTGATTATTGGTGTGTTGCTCTTTTCGTTCCATCTGTATCGTTTGCAGATAAAATAGTATATGTTATTTGGAGTAAAAGTGAGTTTATGTGGCTCAGCTGAATCCATTTGCCTCGAACGTTCAGCTTCGCCACATAAACAATCACTTTTACTCCTAATAACATAATCTACTATTAATGGTTTTCAGTTTTTTTCTCTAGGTCTTACAGTTTCGTAGAAAAACGCATATAACTTTCACAATTTTAAAAATTTTTACTTTTTGAACGACGATTACGGTCAAACTATTAGATCTAGAGCAAAAAGCTTAACACTATTGTAAACAACGTAAAAGAGTCTATCGATTGACGCCAAATTCAACATGTCGCAAAAAAATTTGAATTTTTAAAGCCCGATTAAGGCGAAACTAGAGGAGATAACGCAATATGCTTGTCAAATTCGTAATCAGCGCGTCAAATTTTTACTTTTTTTATTTTGTAAATTGCGGCGAAACTGTACCTCAATGATATAATATTTTGACGTAAACATATGTAATACCATTATCACCGAGGTTTGTATGCTATTTTATTCACAAAAACATTATTTTAAGTCAAAAATTTGAATAAAAGAAAATTCTAACAAAGTTAAGGTGTAAACGTGGTAGGCCATCTGAATTGCCTTTTAACATTTCTGAAATGTAAAAAAAAAATGAAATAATATGTAAATCTGATATTAAAATTGTTGAAATGGAATAGTGTGCTTTCCCAGAAGTAAGAAAAACTACCACAGAAGCAATTGAATACTAATTTAGCAAAACATTATGCGTAACTTGACAATTTAAAAAAAAAATTCCCGGTATTATTGTAATTCTAACGTTGGCAATCCTGCATATTACCGCTCAAGAGAAGTCATATTATTATTCTTATGAAATATAATGACGTGTTGTACAGTGAGATCCAAAAGTCTGTCTATCAAGCAAGCGTAGAAATTTAAAACGTATGTCTGTAGAAGATAAAATGTCACAATGACAAATGAGAAATGTCAAAATAATTTTTATGTAAATTATAACAGGAAACCGTAGTGAACGATTTTTATGAATAAACACCAACAAAATCTCATTTTAGGATATTTTGAGACGTTTCATAGAATAATTCAATTAATTAGCTCAATGTTTTAATTTTTATAAAATAATTTTTTAACAGATAAATAGATAGATAACATACGAACTGCCATGCAACAAACGTCCTCAACTAGGACGCCTACTTGATAGAAAAACTTTTTGATCGCACTGTATATGATAGAAAATTAAATTTTCTTTCCAACGCAACGATACCAAAGATAAAACTAAAAGTTTTAAAGACTCAAAAAATAACATAAAACGTTATTGTGGTAAGTCCACATTCCGATCACGTAATGTCCTTCCACTTAGGCTAAGCAGTGGCAAAGTTCACATAAACGCTCATTTGGCCAAATTGAAGGTGTAAGTAGTGATATTTTACCGGTGGCGACCATCGCACCTGGGGCTCCGCCACTCAAATGGCAGCTGTGTCGATGCTGTTAATCCTGGGATTTAGTTCAGCTTAAAACGCTCACACTAAACTTTACCAATATCGGTTCTTCACACTCGCTGCTGTTTAATGCTTATGAAACACTCGAACCGACATTATCGGAGCAGACGACATTATATTTTATGGTATTGGAGCTTTCGTAATTTATCGATTTTGGTTTCCGTATAAGCAACACTAAT